CCCCAAAGCTTCTCTTCTCCAGGTTGAAGAATTCCAGTTCTCTCAGCCTTTCCCCAAAGCAGAGCTGCTCCATCCCCCTAATCATCCTGGTGCCTCCTCTGGACTCTCTCCAACAGCTCCATGTCCTTCCTGTGCTGGGACCTCAGAGCTGGAGGCAGCACTGCAGGTGAGGTCTCACCTGAGCAGAGCAGAGGAGCAGAATCTCCCCCCGACCTGCTGCCCACACTGTGGGGATGAGCCCAGCACCGAGTTGGTTTCTGGGCTGCCAGTGCACATTGGGGCATGTCCAGCCCTTCACCCCTAGTCAAACAGGAGAGACATCACTGCTACCACTGATGAGGTAAGTTCTCTCTAGTACAGTGTACAAGAGCAGCATTGGCAACACTTGAAGTTACAGTTTAAAAGCTTGGGTGAGACAACAGCAATGAGACAATGAAAAAATTCCAGCTCCCATGATCTGAGGATTAAATATCATCACATCCTTAAGTGTAGGGATGCTTCCTTCTCCTTAAAACACTTGTATATCCTACTGCATGTCAACACAGAAGAACCTGCACGCTCATCGAACAGTTCACTTGCGCAAGCAGTGCAGGAGTGGTGCAAAGCTCAGGCTGGTTTGCTAGACATTGCACAGAGCACAGCTCTGCCACATGAGACAGGTGTGTGATCCAGTCACAGCCCACAGAGCCAGGCAGGTGCTCCTCCAGCCCTCCATTTATGATGCGATTCATCAAATAAACCCCTTGCTGGTACAGAGGATCTTGAAGATGCATCCACAATCCTCCAAAATCTGAACAGCACCTTGTGATGCTTAAAACCTTATTCTACAACCTTGACCTGATGCACAGCAGCACCCTTAACTAGGTCAGCCTGAAACAGAGACCTCTGTAAACACCTGCCTTTAAGAGCACGCAGGAAGGGACAGCACAGACTTTTTCAGCAATTGAAGATATTCCTCATATCGGAGCTACTCTCAGGGGAAGGAAGTCTGAAATAAGTTACATTTCTCACTTGACAGGTGAATGACAACCATGTTATTCTGAGCCACTGGAACACAGAAAGCCGTAAAAATAGTACCAAGTGAACTGAGATGAACACTGAGTACTGTCCTTCCAGAGGCAGAGCAACCTGCACAGCCCTCAGTAAAGGTGCTGTAAAAGCATAACCAGGAGCCAGCAGTTGCTCAGAAACATCAGTAAACCAGATTTCTCCAGATACTTTTCTGTATACAGGGGAATATAGAATACAGGGGAATTTCCATTCTGCCTTTCATTAAACTATCCTTTGCAAGCACATACAAGTCATTTTGAAGTAGTATCTGCACCATTACCACATGCCTCTCTCAAGCCAACATCACGACAGATGTTCCCACACAGAATACATTACTGTCCCACAAACCATCAACCACATGCTAATACACTTGAACAGCATTTTTCATCAAACCTATTGTCAATTTTGGGTCCAAAAAGCAAGTTTCCACTGCAAAGCACACAGGCCTCTTCCTCCCTCCAGCTCCAAATCACATTACTGAGGATAAAAAGCAAGAAAGTCAAGAGGAGAGGTGTGTTTCCAGCATGGAACAACCAAGGAAACAGATGCAACAGCATGTATTTGGAGGAAAACAAACTGAAGTTGAGAGAAAGACTGTGCAGCATCAACAAAACAGAGGAAACTCTGCCAGCTTCCAGGACTATTACTGTCCTACTCCTGAAGTTTCTCTTTCAGTCTCAGTATTCAAGTCCTACATGTGAAGAAGTGAGTTGCAGTAAGTCTTCAGTTCTTTGCACGGCTGCGCTGGTATCACCCAGCTGAGCCAGGGCTCTCTTCTCCCTCCTCTCTGCTGTGCCACAGCCTCCAGCCCAGTTCCTCTGCAGGGCACTCCTGTAACACAGCTGTGCCCTCCACATCACCCTGTCACACAGGGACTGCATTTTGAACATTGGGGTTTTTCTGTGTATCTGCCATGCCTTAAATCCCTCGTTGACAGTGAGCTGGAGTATATCATGCCTTTGTTTAGAGGCTCAGAAGAATCAAAAGACAATCAGAGCCATGATTTAAAAGTCAAATAAAGATTTTGCTGTTGGTTTGAGCATGGTGTCGTATTTTTAAGAAATACCAGTGTACCAATATTTTTTATGGTCCATATTTCCCCACCATTCCTGCCTCCACAGCAGCAGTTACAATCTCTAGGAGTGAGACGAACACAAAGCTCTATTGAGATGGTGCTGAATAAAAGCGACATTGAAGCACTACAGAATCAGTCTCTCTGATATCTGGAGATGTTGTGCTGTCTCTCAAGCCAAGTGTGATGAATCAAGCGCACAGAAACCCTGCTCTGTCTGAACACAGAGAGGCAAAGAAGTTTAGAATGGAGTGTCCCCACCATAGTATAATGAAATTTTGCTTTTTTGCACAGTCATTTTTGAACAGTCATTTTTCTTTTGAATACTCAACTGATGGCAATTCTTCTTTAGAAATCGCCTGACTGGGACTGCCAACCCTCATGAAAGAAGTGTGTGTGCTTCCCTGACCGAGGGTCTTGGCCGTTTAAGACAATCCAACTGCTGGCTGCCACATCCCATCCTACTGCTGCATCTCCAAAGCTCAACACTTCATTTCAGCACACTCATCCAAAGCGAGCTACTCACTCCGGCATGTTGGTTTCTTTGCCAGATTAGCACACAAACTTCCCAGCAAACTATTTGCTGAACATCAGAGCGAAGCAGAGACGTGGCAGAAGCTGAGAATATTTCAGAGTGCTGCTGTAAATTCACAGCAACGCAGCATTTACTGCACCCATGGGAAGGCTCTGTCAAGCTATTGGAAACCACTCACAAGCCTCTTATAATCTGAAATTTAAGAAGAGCTATGTCAACTAATTAATCAAGTTGTAAATGACATTACAATGAGGTATTCTAAACTGCCAGTAATTATCACATGCTCTATAGCATGAATTCTGAAACTGCATGTACCAGCTGAGGTGGATGCCTGCATGACTGACAAACCGAGTTTAAAAGTATCTGAAAGAACTCATCTCCGATAAGTCCAGGGTGATATCTGACAAAGGCATTCAAATTCCCTGTCTGCACAGAGCATAGGGTACTGCTGGCCAGTTATTTGACACGTACACACAGTCCATTGGATTTTGCAGCTGAGATGAAGATCAACTCTTTTAAAGCCTGCAGAGCACTTGGAAATCATATGCTTCCAAAACTTCTAAATAAATAGTGTACCTCCAGTGAACAAAAATTCCCTTTGAACCAAATGTAAATTAAAAAAGTTTCTCCATGTCTCCAACAAAGCAGCTGCCATAGTAAGTGGTCAGACTTGATTTAGAAAGAAAAACACTTGTGCTTGAGAGCAAAATAGCAATTGAATTTCTGCTGCATTTGTTCATTCTTACCATTTAATATCATCAAGTCCCTTTACATAAGCACTACTGGCACAGGCATCAAAGGAGGCAAAACATGGCAAATAATGCAATCAGCATAACGAGCAATCTCTTGAAAAAAGTTAAAAATACACTGAGAACGAAGAGCGCCCTGAGAATGCAGACTGGTGAGGCTCAGAGACACCTCTCACAGTGCTGACAGACCAATCTAAAAGCAGCTTTCCGCTGCAGTATCAAGGCTCTCTCAGCTCAGAGTCTACAGCCACAGCCCAGAGACAGCTTAATATACCCCAAAAGGAAGGACAGACCCCACGCAGCTGCTGCTATTTAGATGAATGAGCTTAAATTTTCCCCCAGTGACAAATGCACAGTGCAGTGTACTGTGAGCAGTGCACAGCCTCAACCATTCCTACCAACCCAACTAACAGTGCCAAGTGAAACAGCTGGACAGACTCATCTGGAAAGAGGCTTTCATGCACTGATCCACTGTTGAAGATCAGCTCTCATTGGCATTAATCATGACATCAGCAAACTGCAAGATGACTTGATGCAAGCAGCTCCAGTGCCAGCCCAATCCGCAGTGGAGTGCGCCAGAGCAGTGCCACAGGTGGGTTTCCCAGACTGGGGGAACCTGAGGGGGAGCCAGGAGAACCACCAGGAGCCCACAGCTCACATGACAGCAGCTGACAAGACCTGAAGGAACAGCAGCCAAGCATCTCCACACCTAATAAAGAAGCCCTTAGGGAGCACTAGTGATTTGGAGCATCAGCAACAGGGCAGGAAACGGTGATGAGGGTTAACTCCAGCTGGCAGCCAGTCAGCAACCAGTGGTGTCTCGCAGAACTCAGTACTGGGGCCAGCTCTGTTTAATACCTTTATCAATGACCTGGATGAGGAGACTGATTGCAAGTGGCTGCCTCGGCAGCGCTGGGGGAATGGCTGGACTCGAGTATCTTAGAGAGCTTTTCCAAGCCAAACAATTCTGTGTTTCTGTGCCTTTGGTTTACTTAACCAGTTCCTTCTGAGAGGCAGACACTACCTCAGGACAAGGAGTCAGTTGGGAATATATTATTAGCAAGAAGGTGTAACTCCAA